TATCTTAGATGATTGCTCATAGTCTTTTAAGACCCCAGACGCTACTCACCAAGGTAGAATGTAGAGCATTGTCTTTATAAGCTGTGTTATGCCAGTTGAGCTAGATGTTCCCCGAGACCATGGTCCCCACAGCCCTCCGCCCAGCAATTCAGTCCCTCAGGGAGTTTGGATGTGTCTATGGAGCTTCCATTGGCACCATTTCTTGTTCGCTATCTTTGTCAGAGAATCACTCTCCAGCAGAACTTTCTGTGATAATGGAATGTTCTCTATCTATGCTGTCCGATAAGGTAGCCATTAGCCACAAATGTAGCTATCGAACACTTGCAATATGGTTAGGGTGACTGAGAAATTAAATTTTATTTATGCTTTGTTAATTTAAATTTAAATAGCTGTATGTGGCTAGTAGCAACTGTTTTCGATAGTGCAGCCCTACAGCTTCCCAAAGGTTGGGAAAGGGCTGTGGTGCCAGAGAGGTTGGCGACTCTTTTTCTGCTGCATCTGGGACAGGCAAAATCCTAAAGACCATCTGGGTCCTGCCTCTCTCTTCCACTTCATACCTTGTTCTACTCTCCCCATCATTTACTATATTCCAGCCATAGTAGGCTTCTTTCTGCCCCCAAATGCGATAAGCTTGTTTCCATTTTAGTTCCCTTGGCCTGAAACGCTCTTCTTTTGGGCTTTTGCGTGGCTGGCTCCTTTTCATTCATTTTTAGCTCAAATGCTCTCTTCTCACAGTAGAGAACAAAACGGATCAAGATTATATTCTAATTCTAGTGGAGGAGGGATATTTAATAAACAAACTTATACATATTTACATACGTGTGTGTATATACATACATACGTACACAATAATACAATATGATAAGTGGTGTTAAATGTTAAGAAGATAAAAGGTAGTATAAAGGGAAAGATTTAAAAGAGGGAATCCTAGTTTAGATAGAGCTTTTAGGGGGGCCTCTTTGATAATGTCATATTTGATCAAAGACCTGAAGGAAGACAGGGAGCAAGCCAGGTGGATATCTGAAAGAAGAGCAGTCCAGGTAGAGGAACAGTGGATACAAAGGCCCAGAAGTGGGTATATGCTTAGCATATTCAAGGAACATGAAGGAAGCCAATATAGCTGGAGTAGAATGAGTGACAAAGAAAATAGAAGATTCAATAGAGTTAGCCAAGGCCAAATCATGTAGGGTCTTTTAGGCCATATTAAGCTCTTTAGATTTTATTCAGAGAGAACTGGAGGAAACAGAGTTCTGCACACAGGAGTGACGTGATCTGACTAAAGTGTTTGAAGGATCATATGGCTACTGTGTGAAGAATGGATTGGTAGAACCAGAGAACAGCTAGGAGACTTTTTCAGAAGTCAAGAAGAGGTAATAATAAGCTACACTAAGATCAGAGTGGTAGAATTGGTGAGAAGTAGTTGAATTCAGAAGGAGTCCTAGTGATGCAGTGGTTAAAGTGCTTGGCTGCCAACCTAAAGGTCGGCAGTTTGAACCCACCAGCCGCTCCAGGGCAGAAAGACATAGCAAAAAACAGAACAGAGGGTCCAGAAATAGATCCATATACATACGGTCAATTGATTTGCAACAGAGGTACAAAGCAATCTAATGAAGGGGAAGTTTTTGTACAAATAGTGCTGAAATAATTGCTTATCTAAATTATCTATATCTATCTATAAATTAACCTTGATCCATATCTTGCACCACATATAAAAATTAATTAGGAATTGATCATGTACCTAAAATGTAAAACCCCAAACCATAAAATCTCTGAAATGAAATACAGGAGAAAATCTTAGCAACCTTGTGGTAGGCAAAGGTTTCTTAGAACACAAAAAAGCACAAATTATAAAAAAAAAATAATAGATAAATTAGACTTCATCAAAATTCAAAACTCTGCTCTTCAAAAGACAACAATGAAAAAACAAAAAGTTTAAGTCAGAGACAACATTTGCAACACATATGTCAGACAAAGGACTTCTATCCAGAATATATAAAGACAACAAAGAAGACCTGCAAATTAATAATAAGATGATTAACAACCCAGTGAGAAAATGAGCAAAAGATGTGAACAGAAACTTCACAAAAGAAGATATATGAAAGGGCAATAGGTACATGAAAAGATACTCAACATCCTTAGTTATCAGGAAACGCAAATTAAAACCCCATGATGTACCTCTGCATGTTGTTGTTAGGTGCTGTGAAGTCGATTTCGACTCACAGCATCCCTACGTACAACAGAATGAAACACTGCCAGGTCCTGCGCCATCCTCTCAAGTGTTGCTGTGTTTGAACCCATTGTTGCAGCCACTGTGTCAATCCATTTCTTTGAGGGTCTTCCTTTTTTTTGGGGACCTTCTATTTTACCAAGCATGATGTCCTTCTCCAGGGACTGGTCCTTCCTGATAACATGTCCAAAGTACGTGAGATGAAGTCTTGCCATTCTCACTTCCAAGGAGCACTCTGGCTGTACTTCTTCCAAGACAGACTTGTTTGTTCTTCTGGTAGTCCATGGTATATTCAGTATTATTCGCCAACACCATAATTCAAAGGCATCAATTCTTCTTCTGTCTTCCTTATTAATTGTTCAGCTTTCGCATGCATATGAGGCGACTGAAAATATCATGGCTTGGTCAGGAGTACCTTAGTCCTCAAAGGGATATCTCTGCTTTTCAACACTTTAAAGAGGTCGTTTGCAGCTGATTTGCCTAATGCTATATGTCATTCGATTTCTTGACTGCTGCTTCCATGGGCGTTGATTGTGGATCCAAGTAAAATGAAATCCTTGAAAACTTCAATATTTTCTTTGCTTATCATGATGTTGCTTATTGGTCCAGTTGTGTGGATTTTTGTTTTCATGTTGAGGTGTAATCCATACTGAAGTTTGCAGTCTTTGATCTTCATTAGTAAGTGCTTCAAGTCCTCTTCACTTTCTGCAAGCAAGGTTGTGTCATCTGCATATCATAGGTTGTTAATGAGTCTAACAATCCTGATGCCGCATTCTTCATATAGTCTAGCTTTTCTGATTATTTGCTCAGCATACAGATTCAATAAGTATGATGAAAGGATACAACCCTCATGTATACCTTTCCTGATTTTAAACCACGCAGTATCCCCTTGTTCTGTTTGAATGACTGCCTCTTGGCCTATTTATAGGTTCCACATGAGCACAATTAAGTGTTCTAGAATTCCCATTCTTTGCAATGTTATTCATAAAACCCAACTATTCCAAGTCTTGATGAGGACATCGAGCAACTAGAACTTTCATACATTCCTGGTGGAAACGTAAAATTGTACAATCACTTTGAAAAATAATTCGGCAGTTATTTAAAGAGTTAAACATACACCTACCATACAACCCAGCTGTTCTGCTTAAGGTTTTTATCCAAGAGAAACATAAATATATGTCTACACAAAGACTTGCACGTAAATATTCATAGTAACTTTATGTGTAATAGATGAAAACTGGAAACAATCTAAATCTAAAGGTCCATCAACAGGTGAAAGGATAAACAAATAATGGGATATCCATACAATGGAATATTACTTGGGAATAACATGGAACTACCATATACTCAATAACATGGATGAATCTGCAAATCATTATGATAAGTGACAGAAGCCAGACCTCCTTCCAAGTAGTACACCATGTATAATTCAATTTATAAAAAATTCTAGAAAACTAATCTGTAATGACCTAAATCAGATCAGTGATTGCCTGATGATGGGGATGCAGTAAAGGATGAATTACAAAGGGACACAAGTAAACTTCTAAGGGTATTATCTTGATTCTGGTGATGGTTTCATGGATATATACATATGCCAGATTGATTACATTGTACCCTTTAAATATGGACAGTTTAACCCAAACCAATTGCCATCTAGTTGATTGCAACTCAAAGTGACCCTGTAGGACAGAAGGGAACTGCCCCCTAGGGCTTCCGAAGCTGTAAATCTTTATGGAAGCATACTGCCACATCTTTCTT